TTTTCTGGAATGAATATGTATTCAAAACAAATAGGGTTTTCTTAACTACATTTCAAAGATATGGAGATGAATCTTTCACTCTCTGATTCAATTCCTGCCACAAACATCATGGACCCCAGGCTCTGCATTTTCAAGCAACATTATTAAATTTTTAAAAAATACTTCGGAAAAAAGAGGGAGAGATGTAATCATTTTCAAATGGGCAAACTCCAGGAATGTTTATGCTCTTAAAAAAATTTATGCTGGAATCAAAGAGGTGTGTATGTATTAGGGCTGCCTGTACTCAGCCCTTCCCCACCTGGACTGTGTTCACCACCACTGTGGGGGCTGTTGAATCCATCTTCTGAGTCAGAGGATGGAACATTAAGTCCACAGGCCAGAGGCATCTACTTGTGAAGAGCTTCCAGTGGGTTAGGTGTTTCTGGGGCTGGTCCTCAGAGCAATTCCCTCTCCCACTCTGAATCCCCATCCTCATCCCATGAAGAGCAATTGGTCCAGCTAGCTCAGTATTGTCTACATGGGCTGCTCTCTAGGGTTTCAGACAAAGGGACATTTTCACTTGTACCTGAAGGTGACAGAGATTGAACCCACATTCAAAGCAGGGTCACTGACCTACAGAAGGAAAACTAGACCCCAGGTTAATGTCAGTGAGGACATACACTAAATCCCAACACTCAGCAGCAAGGGCTGGGGAATTGGATTGTGGCTTGAGTCAGGTTCACTTGAGTTATGTACTATATAAGAGCGGTGCAATGCAATAAACTTGCAGAACTTGGAGATCTTTTGTAAGTAACATGGAGTATCGTTTCAAAAAATAAAAAAAGAATAGAAATGAACTTCCCTTAAAAGCAGGGGGCAAAACTCGGCACAGAGGGAGAAGTGAATAAGCCGCATCAATTTCAATGGAATTTAAGTATGTGCAGCTGTGCATCAGAATGCGGTCATGATGTAAGACTAACATAGAACAATTTGCCTACTTATCTACAATGAACTATGATTGACCAAAGTAATCTCTCAAGAAAAGCAGACAATGATATGGCTTAGTGCACAGTAGGTATCCTCCCCCGAAGGTGCTACTGGTTATTGATCTGACTACATGCTCCTGATTTCCTTACATCTACCAAATTAAAATAAAAAAAAATCTGCCAGTTTGTTTACGTGTTTGAAGATAAAAGCCCTACTAGGATGAAAGCGCCACCACACAACAGGCGCTCTCAGCAAAGATAAATGGAAGGAACAATTTAAGAAGATTATTCTTGACAGACAAAGTTGGAGGTGCTGGGGGGAGAGAGAGAGAGTATGATATGAAATCATTCAGCAGGGTGAGGGTAGCTGCTTTATTTACCATCAAAGGGAGCTAAGTTTCAATTACAGCTGCCATTTTGGATTTTCCATCACTTGGCTATGAGTCAAGTACCGGTGGTCTTTATATGTGGCAAAACATGGAGTGTCTTTTATGTTGTGACACACAATAAAGTCTTCTTTAGGTTAGCAGTAATCTATGGAAGTATTTTGGGCCTGCATAAATCAGGAATATTTATTATATGGTACACTCCAAGGTGTACAACAAACACAAAACCCAGCTTTGGCTCCCTGGCAGAATTCCTGGCTCTCTTCTGACATGCAAGAGCCTATCAGATCCGGTGAAGCTGTTGACTTGAACCTCGTTCTTCAGCTATGCATCTTGTCAGTTAGGGGCAGATTGAATTCCGGAATGATCCATTCATTGTGTGGCTTATAGCCATATGAAGAGATTTTTTAAACTGGGAAGGTATCCACTGGAACTGCAGTGCATAATGGGAGAACTTTAACCCTTATCTCCCCATCTGTGAATCCCATGCTGCAGTTAATGATGAGGGGAGAGGGCCAATGCAACTAACTGGCTAGGGGGCAGATCTCACAGGGGCGAAGTGCTATCCTTTGAGGGGCACAGATTAGTTTTTGTTATATCAAAAGAGCCTAGTTGGCTTGGCAACTGTATCGCTGGAACATGCCCAAGTAACAGCACCTGACCTGAAGTGATTGGTGGTAAAATTTGCAAAGGAAAAGACATGCAAGGTGTGGTTTGGATGGGCCTGAAAGCGAAACTTTTAAGATACTTAAATTTTAACATCACAATTCACAAGATTGTTCAAAATGATTTGTGTGCTAAAACCTTTTCTTTTGTGTTTGAGGAAGATAATCAAAGATGTTTGCATTACTTATTCTTGCAATCCAAAATAAATATAGCAGTTTCCAGTTTTTTTACTTTTCATTCCCTCTCCCCCCACTATGAGGCATCTGTTTTTGAAAATTGAAGTTAGCAATCATTTGTTTTGAGGGGGGTGCAACTAGTTAGTCTTGCCTAAACACAAAATAGCCTGGCACCGACATTGGTGGAAACTTCCCCCACTTTCTGCAGTGTTGGAAGAGGGAGGCTAAACTGCTATTAGACTGCCTGTCTCTCCTAAACAATCTGTGTAACTGCCTGCTGAACCCTTTTCTGTCCTTCAAGACACCCACCGGCCCCAGGCTTCTCCTGTTCTATGGAGATTTCCCTTAGGGTGGCTCGAGAAATGAATCAGCCCATGCCATGTTCAGAGCTGTAAGGTGATAAAATGTGATGGTATAAGTTTGATAACTACATTCAGAAGAAAATTATTTGCATTTTGTAGCTCAATAAAACAGTTCACCAGCACAGGAGCCAGTTTGTTTTTCACAGAGGTTAAATATGTTCTTCATTAAAAAATGTAATTACATAGGGATGTTCTGGAACCATCCCTGTCCCCTGCTTCCTCTGACAAATATACTCTTGCAGGAAAGGGCTCTTCTGGAAATAGTTAGCTCATGAATCTATTTTTCAGCCATTTAAGATTCCATGAATTGTTAATGAGTATTTACATGTAATAATGCTAAACAAACAATAAATAGTTTTAGAGAAAACTCTTCCATACTGCAAGATCAGCTACAAGGAAAGTGTTCAGAAATGGTGATGGCTATTCCAGGTATGAATTCTGAAAAGCAAAGCACGCGGAACAGAAGTTTATAGCAGATCATGAAGATAATCTGTGGCATCATTGTCACAATAATAGACAAAAATGGAAAATGCTCACTTCAGAAGACCAACAAGACCCTGGGGAGATTAGAGCTGCTAATAAGATTGCTTATGCAAATGGACTATATCAAATTTATGGATTTCAGTGGCATTCCAATTATCTCATTGCATTTATGAGTCCAATAGGTATTGGATAACTTAATAATATTGTATGAGCTGCAAATGATATTGATGTTCTATTGACCAGAGTAGATTTATAACAGACAGGGTGAAGGCCTAGACATTGAAATTCTAGGTATTGCAGGTGAGACCCATGGATTACTGAATAGGATTGTCAACTCTTGATATTCAACTCTCTGATACTATTTACATAAAGTCCAAGGCAAGGCCTTCTGGGTCTGGGCGGAACCAGGGCTCAGTACCGTGGAGTGAGTCCAAGGATGGAGCACAACACCAAAATTGTCTGCTTGGGCCAGCTCAAAACATTTTGATGCCTGAGGTGAAGGTCACCCCTCCTCCTTCCACATACAGAAACTGAAAGACTGATACTTGAATCTTACATCAATACTAGTGACAGGATAGTGTCTGCTACCACATCCAAAGCAGTAAGCCAGATTAGAAGACCCAAGGTAGGTCATGAGATGAACAAAATGAAGGGGGGAGTCAAAAGGAACAGCTGAGGAAGCTACTGCCCCCAGAAGGTGTTACCTATTGAGGTCACATCACTCTACCTAAAGGTTGGACCATCCCTGGTATATTTTCACTAACGATATACAGCTATAATATGAACTGGGAAAGGTATTCTCCAGAAGCGGTCTCATAACATCTGACCCAATCTAACCCACAGCCAAAGTTCTAATGTCTTGGACAGAAGTGGAACCAGTGATAGTGCTGGTCATGTTCAATCTCTTTTATCTCCGTTGGCTGGTTAAACTAGTATGCAATCTTAGGGGGAAAGATCCTGCTCAGGATGGATTGGCTGAATACCTGAAGCACAAAAGCTTAGTTTTAGGGTGTTATGTGCCTTGTCCATCCTCTCTCAAAGTTTCTTCCTTAAATGTTTTGCCGTGTTTTCACATCAACAGCTTGCTGCTGCTTACAGTTTCTGAATATTCTTAATGGATCACATGGACTGGAAGAGTTTCTTAACCACTACAACTACCTTCCCTGCCATGTACAAATTCATTCCTCTTGACTTCATTCATTGCTCTAATAGAAACCAGCTCCATCTGAATGCACAACACAGAGACCATCTCCCAGCATTGTCTTGACTAAACCTGAGTTTAGCTATTAAACTATTAGGAAAAATCCACCTGTTCTTTCCATTTTTATCCATTCTCTCTGTCTGTCTCTCCTTTTACTCTCATCTTGCTGTTTAGCATAATGACATGTCTTACAGTGTAGCTGCAAAGGATCTAAATGATGTATGAAATGCAATAATGTTCCTGCAAGCAAAATGTGGAGGGATGGTGTATATGCCAGGGCAGAGAAATGTAATGGGTCCAGCTTGTTCCATTTCCCACGGAATTCCAGCTCTTTGCCCAGTATTTGCTCAACCTTTAGTATCAGCCAAATCGGATGTCTTTTACAACCTTACATTTTCAAACTATGCCTGCAATATACTCAGAAAAGATAGATCAAACAAGGCTGTAATGTTTGTCCCTGTGCATTTGGTCAACTAAATCTTCCATGCTATTTTTTTTGTATTTCAGGTTATATGCCAAGTTAAGAAATACAGCCAGCTTTCACCAGTGAGCACTGCTGAATTAGCGACCGGATGGCCTTGCTAGAGGGCATCAGAAGGTGCTAGTAAAAGCACTGAGGATACAAATGTGTGGCTGCTGAATGGATAACTGTTCCCAGCATGAACCAAAGATGTTTCCCCCCCAGGCTAACGCTGAGCACTAGAATTAACTTGCTAGCCATGGTGCTGAAAGAACGGTCATACTATAACATCATCTCATTGGGAGAAGGGCCATAGCTTAGTGGTAGAGCATCTGCCTTGTACACAGGTGGTCTTAAGTTCAATCCCTGGCATCTCCAGGTAAGGCTGGGAGAAACTTGGGAAAACTGCTGTCAGTCAGTGAAGACAGTACTGAGCTAGAGGGACCAGTGGTCTGGCTTAGTATAAACAGCTTCCTGTGTTCTACTTTCTACTTAGCAGAAGTAGGCGGGACTAGGGGACAGTTTTGGACTAGATGGACCAATGGTGTGACTTGGTATAAGGCAGCTTCCTATGTATGCACAGGATCTTATCGTTCAGCAGTCCTCAGTGGTGCAAACTGGTAGTGCCAGCAAACTTCTGCATGAGCTCCTGCTGGAAAAAAAACATACTGCAGAGGCAGGTAACGCAAGCATGCAGGTCCTTTTTCAAGCCTTGCATCCAAACATCTGCAAAACATACACTGACTGTTCATAACCCATAGAATTTCAGCTTTCTGGTTTAAAAAAGTGCATGTTTCAAGTCCTCATGGCTGTAGCTAAAAGCTTAAAAGCAAGAAGGAACTTTTTCTGAAGACCCAGAATAGCTCTAGCTGGGCTTCTCATCTCTTTGTAGCTAAGTAGGCCTCTGCATTAGAGATACTGTGGAGACTTCTGGGCACAGGAAGTCAAAGTCTCAGGGAGCATCTACTACTCACCTTGAGTATAGATTGAGTATTACAAGCCCCAGATTTGTCCATGACTGAGATTAAAAACCAAACGATAGATTAAATTATAATCAAAATAGTCTAACTACTATAGAAGAGCAAGTAATGGAAGATAGCTGAACAAGTTTCTAGAGAGAGGGATTCTGAGAAGATTTGGAATTACAAGTTGCAAGACAATAGTCAAACCTTTGCTTCTTGTAATCATACAGGATATAAATATGCATAACTATGAATTAAAATGATGGTGGTCACAGCAGGTGATTGGGAAAGGCTGGATGCAAATGGATGCACCTGAGAACATAATGTAGTGATAGCTTGTGTACACACACACACACACACACACACACACACTTCAAACCATGGTCAACTAAAATATCAAAACGTGAACTTTGACTTTGGCAAGCAAAAAGCCCACAAAGCTGAAGCACAATGGCTATAACGATGCAAAGGCTATGTTGTTTTCTGGGTGGGAAAATATATTTCAGTTCAGACTCCTAGAACTCTGCATAGCACAGCTTTGGCTTCCAAGTTGCTTTTCTATTGATTGACTCCTTATGGGTTTGAATGAGGAGAATGTCAAGTATGTAGCAAAGCAAGCGGAAGACTCATAGCTTTGTACTGTTTATGCTGAGCATCAGAGGGAGCAAATGTCCTATGCCAGTTCAAAGAACTAGAGCATCTCATAAATTTTAAAGACGGACAAACATCCAACACCTAATTTAGGCTGCTGAGCCAAAACAGCATAAAAGAACTCCAAAGGTTTTGCCTAAACAGGTTTTTTTAAAGCGCCATACACCTTTTATTTTACTGCATTTCACTTGTACTGCATCTGTAACACAAGGTTATGTTCCCTTGGACCCTGGGAGCTGGGAAACCTTCCATTATTTTACATTACAGTGCAAAGATTACTTTACTGGTTAGGAAGTTAATTACACAGGAGACACTTCAACAAGAAGAGCTGGCCTTGTGTTTACCCAGATTTCCTTCTTTAATTAATGTTCTCAGAACATTAATAGAATTAATGCATCAACTGATGCCTCTAGACCATTGAACTGGGGTTTCTGGTTTTTCCAAGAAACTTTCCCTTAAAAAAATTAAATCAATAGCTCTGACATGCATGGGAATGGCTTTTCCCTCTCCTATCAGCAGGATAGTTGAGGATGAAAGAAGCAGTGCAAGCAGTGTTGGCAATCTGGTATGCTGCGAGGTGTGGTTTGAAGGAATTTTCTTTGCCTCAGAGAGAGGAATAGATATGGGCTACAGTCCCGCACCTAGAGTGATTTGTATAAGAATTAGCTTATCAGAAGAAGACAGGCATACCATTGCTATTATTGATGTATTAACTACCTTCTAAGCACCCGTCTCAAGGTGATTTACACATAAGATTACTAAAAAGTTTAAAACTACAGTTAAAACCCTAACTACAGTTAAAACCCTAACCCTTCAGTATACCTGAAGGAGCGTCTCCACCCCCATCGTTCTGCCTGGACGCTGAGGTCCAGCGCCGAGGGCCTTCTGGTGGTTCCCTCATTGAGAGAAGCAAAGCTACAGGGAACCAGGCAGAGGGCCTTCTCGGTAGTGGCGCCCGCCCTGTGGAACGCCCTCCCATCAGATGTCAAGAGACATTCAGAAGACATCTTAAGGCAGCCCTGTTCAGGGAAGTTTTTAATGTATGACATATTAGTGTATTTTTGGTCTTTGTGGAAGCTGCCCAGAGTGGCTGGGGAGACCCAGCCAGATGGACGGGGTACAAATAATAAATTATTATTATTATAACAAAGTAGACACTTCTGGTAAAGACCCATTTCTTGGGCAAGTGTGTGGGAACAAAAATGTCTCCACTTGTTTCTGGAAAGTGCAGCCAGTGAGTGCCTGCCATATTTTGACAGGAATGCTGTTCCACAGACATGGCAGCCACACCAAAAGCCCTGCTCTGAGTTTCTGCAGAGCAGATTTCTGAGATCTTTGGAACTTCCAGGAGAAACTCAACTGGAGAGCTCAGCAATTGAAGGGGTGGATGAGGATAAGGCAGTCTGACAAACAAACAACAGACACTGTGGCAGCCCCGAGTTGTGGAATTCCCTCCTCACAGAGGTTGCATCTGGCACCTTCACTATGCAGCTTTCAGCAAATGCTGAAGATGTGCCTCTTTACCCTGACCTTTAACACTTGAGATGTGTGGTTTTGGACCAACTCTGCTGTAAATCTTAGAGCAAAACCTATTTATTCCCATTAACGCCAACATGTATATCCATTTTTTCATCAAATCTGTGGTGCATTACCTTTGAAATGTTGGAATACATTTTATTGTTCACAAATGACTGCTCCAATTTTAATTGCAAGCCTATCTTCAGTAGTGCTTGCAGTTCCTCCAAGTATTTTATCATTTGCAGATATAATAATCACATTCTTATTTCTTTAACTCTAGTAAACACTATTCAAAACTCAGAATATGGCCTCGTGCAAGTCTACTTATTATTACCTCTCAGTATGTCACTGATCCATCAATAAGTACACTGAGTGCAGCTTCCCAATCATGCTAGCATCTTTTTAGTCCATTTTCCCCATTCTACAAGAATATTACATGGATCTGTATGCATAACATTACACGTTAAACTATAACCAGTGCATTCCCCTTATCTATTTAAACATTTACAGTGAATCCAGTCCAGTACATGTCATCTCAGATGTACGTCCTGCTGAGTTCAATTGGCCAGTGGGTATAGGATTGCAGCCTAAACCTTCAAATAGGAGCGTTGTGTTGTTTTGACCTGACTTATTCTTAACAAATCCATGATGACTGCTAGTGCTCAGTGCATTTTCTTATAGATGACATATAAATCAATTGCTTTATGGTTTGTTCTCCACCTCCCCTCTTGCTTTTGTCATAATCTGATTTTCCCCCCCAGCTTTGAGAACATTTCCCATTAGCTGCGTTTTGCCAGCTATTCTCTTTGTATTTATGACTTCATAATTCCCGAATCTGTCACAATCAGTGCTGAAGGAGCGTGGCGGGGTGTAATGAAATAATTCGAAGAGAAATGTTGCAACCAAGCAGCAATCTGCTCTTCTCCCCCACCAGATGCGGAATGAATAATATTTAGGGACGTGTACTTATAAATCAGTGCACCCTTTAATTAAGCAACACATTTGACTAAAGAAGAATTAATTAGCAATTCATGGCACAAGCCCTGGCCCATTATCAAAGTGCCTGTAATGTGATAAAGCACAATTGCTGGTGTGCCTTTAGAGCTAATTACCAGCAAGTTGTTTTCTTTCTCATTTCCAGGCTTCTTGTAAACCTAGTTAGATAAGGAGCTACATTTGGAGAGTGCTGGGACACTTTTTTTTCTTTACAAGTCCACAGAATATCCCAGCACCAAGAGGTAGATGGCTGAGGCTTCTGTGGTGTAAGCTATGCTCTGGTTTAGACTGTACAGGAAGCATATGGCTTGGCTAACTAGCTTGAGTGGCTTGGAACTATTGTGGCTGCAGCGCAGGCCCCATTCAGCACAACACCTGCTCTTTGCTCATGGCAGGTCTGCATTGCGGGTGTCTGGCAGGATGCTGGGAGGCTGATCTTGCCTTTGGACAGAGGATTAGATCAGGTGGCCTTTTGGTCCCTTCCAAGAAGCAGGGATTCAAGGATCAGATGCTTCGAAAATGTTCGTGAAACGGGCATGGAAAGCACTGCCAGCATGTGCCAATCAGAGAAGCCCGCTTCCTCATGTTTCATGGCAAAAGAAGTTTATGGGGAAGAGCTTTATAGCTTCATGCTCCTTGTAAGGAAACACTTGCGACATTTTTGTAATACCTGTTTATTTCGAATTATACAGGCTGAGCAGGTGGAAAGCAGTCAGGCACAGAGATAGGCAATTAGGTGCAATTCACATGTCCCTAGATGGCCTTGGATTGCCATTCGTTAGGATCCAGTTTTAGTGGCTGAGCCAAGATGTGACTTTGACTAATACGGCAGTATGAACCATGATGTTCTATTTTCAATGAAGTCTGGACCGCTGAGCGAGCTGACAGCCTCAGTGCATGTGATCACCCACCGTTCATTTCCTCTCTCCAAAGAGATTGCCCTCTTCAAAGCAGTTTTTCAGTGCCTTTCATCTTTGGATCACGGACTGTTCACTAAACATTCAAAGGTAAAATAAAAGAACACAGTGACCTTTTTGCTTGCCAGATTTGCAGGACTATCTCAAGATCCCTGGATTATTTCTATTTCTGTGTTCGTGGTCTTCGTATAATAAATATTTATGCTTCCTGGACAGGCACCAAAATTCATTTACTGCATTTGCATAAAGTTTATTCCTTTCTGATACAGATGGTCTTTCTATTTTCTTTCCTGGTTAAGCATCTTGGCAAGCCTGTCATTCACAAAGTTTTTAC